GCTCTCGCTGCATGCTTTTTTGTGCAGTTTTTTTCCAAAGTTCTCTGCGTCCTGATTGACCTTATGATTGGTAAAAACAGTCCCCGCGCTTCCTCTCTACCTGAGTGCCAATATGGTATTGAATACAGATTGGCCATTCAAGAGATGGAAACTGAAACTTTGAATGCCAGCTGGAAAAAAAATCTGTGGCCAGAGGCAGCCTGACCGGAGGCTCGCTTGACAAGATCTATGGCTCTGCCGTAGTTACAGCGTGAGTGTCGCAAAGCAGCTGGGAGGAGACGCTTTAATGACATGACTCCTGATCACATTAAGACCCAATTGATGCACACGCACATCCGCTGATCTGAAAACAGGTTTTGTTCTTTGGTTTCAATGTAGAGTCTTTATTTATGCTGTGTAATAACTGTGAAAACTAAAGGTAACTACTTCACGGATTTCGCCTATCACGGATTATTTTCAGAACGCAACTCCTAAGAAAAACAAGGGTTCACTGTAAATGTAGTGTTTAATTATTTTTTTTCTACAGCAGAAGTTTAATCAAAAAAGCGTAACAGATTAAATTTCAAAATGTGGTAAAAACACACAAAAAATCACTAAAACAAAGAATCTCTTGGAACTGTTTTATTTTTTCCCAATGGCTCCAATCCTCTTCTGTAGTTAACAACCATGTGTATGTCTACTCTTATAATATGTCTATGGTTACAACAATGCTGTGGCTACTTCTACTAACTTGAACAGGCAAACTCCGGTCACTGCTGCCACCTAGTGACCGGAGGCTTGTTTATTGCGCCCCCTGACACTTCACCACGCTCCCTTGAGAGGGGGGGGGGTCACTATTTGAGAAGTACTGCACTAGGAACAGTATTTTTTTTCTATTTTAATCTCAATTTCTCCCTCCTCAAAGACAGAAGTTGGAATGACTTTTTGGTTTAGAATTATTATTTTTCTGTTAACTTTTCATTTTCCCCTCATTAAAATGTATATAGAATGCCCTTCTGAAAATATCAAGATTATTGTATCCCTTATATTCAGCTGAAGTGTCTCCTTTTGTGGGGTTTTTTTTGTTTTCAGATTTTGATGTTCGGTGTCGACAGGAGCTTAAAGAGCATCTGAAGAAGAAGCTCCAACGTCTCTCTGAAGGCATTGCTGAACATGGAAATAAAACAGTTCTCAATGAGATCTTTACAGAGCTCCACATCACAGAGGGGTTAACTAGAGAGGTCAACCAGGAACATGAAGTCAGACAGATTGAAACAGAATCCAGGAAACAGGAAACAATCACAAGAGAAGACATCTTTAATGTCTCACCTGGAACAGATCAACCAATTAGAACAGTGATGACCATGGGAGTGGCTGGCACTGGGAAAACCATCTTAACAAGGAAGTTCACTCTGGACTGGGCTGAAGGCAAAACCAACCAAGATATTGATTTCATATTTCCCATCGCTTTCAGAGAGCTAAATAACTTGAAAGAAGAAAAGTTCAGCATGGTGGAGCTGATTCACAGTTTGTTTCATAAAACCAAAGGAATCAGCAACTTTGAAGCGTTCCAAGTTCTGTTCATCTTTGATGGCCTGGATGAGAGTCGACTTCCTCTGGACTTCGAAAAAACTAAAATATTAACTGACCCTGAACAGTCCAACTCAGTGGATGTTCTGGTGATAAACCTCATCAGGGGGAAACTGCTTCCCTCTGCTCTCCTCTGGATAACCACAAGACCAGCAGCAGCCAGTCAGATCCCTGCTGAGTTCACTGACATGGTGACAGAGGTCAGAGGGTTCACCGACCTCCAGAAGGAGGAGTACTTCAGGAAGAGATTCAGAGGTGATGAAGAGAAGGCCAGCAGGATCATCTCCCACATGCAGAAATCAAAAAGTCTCCACATTATGTGCCACATTCCAGTTTTCTGCTGGATCACTGCTGAAGTTTTGGAGGATGTGATAATGACCAAAGATGCAGGAGACATGCCCAAGATGCTGACTGAGATGTACATAGAGTTCTTGCTGGTTCAACTCACATTCAAGAAGAAAAAGTTTGGAGGAGCTGAAAAGGTTGCTGAGAACATGATCTTGATTGTTTCTCTAGGAAGACTGGCTTTTGAGCAGTTGCTGAAAGGAAAGATGATCTTCGATGAATCAGACCTCACACAGTGTGGCATCGACATCAAAGATGCTTCATTGTTTTCAGGAGTTTTCACTGAGATGTTTAAAAAGAAAAGAAGGACGCGCAACATCTCTGTCTTCTCCTTTGTCCATCTGAGCTTCCAGGAGTTTCTGGCTGCAGTCTACATGCTCCACTGTTTCACAAGCAGGAAGTCAGAGGTGATCCAGATGTTCCTGGGAGAAGAATACATAGAAACATCTCTAGATGAGTTCATGAAGAAAGTCATGGAGAAATCCCTCAGCAGTAAAAATGGCCACCTGGACCTGTTTGTCCGCTTCCTTCATGGTCTCACTGTAGAGTCCAACCAGAGTCTCTTAGGAGGCCTACTGGGTCAGACAGAGAACAGTCCAGAAACCATTCAGAGAATCATTACCAACCTGAAGGAGATGAACACTGATAGAATCTCTCCTGACAGAAGCATCAACATCTTCCACTGTCTTGTGGAGATGAATGACCTCTCATTTTATCAGGAGATCCAATGGCTGCTGGATTCAGGGAAGAAACTCTCAGTGACTGATTGTTCAGCTCTGGCCTTCATGCTGCAGATGTCAGAGGTTCTGAATGAGTTGGACTTGCAGAAGTACAACACTTCATGGGATGGACGACAGAGACTGCTTCCAGCTTTGAGGAACTGCAGAAAGGCTCGGTGAGTCCAGATGTTTTCATTGTATGAATGCTGATTCAGGACTTTTGTCCTCCTGTTTCTTATTCTTCTTCTTCCAGTTGATTCTGGATCTTTTTGGTCTTTAACTATTTCCTTCATCCTCTGGACTATTTCAGCCATTCGAACATCTAAACATTCAGCTGATCCAGGACAGCTGCAGCTTTTGATATTGAAACATTTTGATCATTTTAACTTTTCATCAGTTTTCAGGTTGAAATAAATAGAAACCCTTCCTTTCTAGAAAATGTTTTCTATGAAAAATCCAGTCAGCCAGAGACACATTTTAAACTTTAAGCTCTTTACTCATTGAGACCCTGCTCAATAATTCATCTTTTAGGATTTTTACTGTTTGTATCAACTAATTGTTTAGGGTTAATGAAAACTTGGTCCATTAAAATAAACCCCTGGATTGACGTTGTTGCGCCATAGAAACTAGTTAGAAACTATGTGAACCAACTTTTCCTCCTCCTACTAGTTTCCTCTGAATTTGTAAATGAGAACAAAATGTGGTGTGTGTTAATTCAGTCCCTGTGTTGTTGTGTCTACTCCCTGATTAACCATGAACTGCACAGATGTGAGAATTGAAGATGTTGATCATATGATGACATTACTGTCATATTTTCATCTGTTTATGATCCAGATTGATTTAATTAGAACTGAATTTATTTCTGCTCTCATCACAGACTTGGTGGCTGGAGGATCCAAAAGGCTGATTGTGAAGTTGTGGCCTCAGCTCTGAAGTCCAACCCAGATCTGACTGAACTGGAAATTAGTGAGATTGACATATATAAAGGTGGAGATGCTGATATGAAGCCTCTGTCTGAGATCCTGGAGAGTTCTGTCAGTGAAGTGAAGAATCTGGGGTTTGTTTTCTCCATTTATCCAATAAAATCATTTATTAATACTTTAATCCCTAGCTTAATGAATAATTTTATTCTAATATGTTTTCAGTTAAAGCAACCTATTTAAATGTCTGAATAAAATCTCTAAAACATTTTACCTGGTAAATTAATTTTCTTATTTCAGACTTTGAGATTATTGAACTTCGTTTTCAGTTTTTCACTTTAAAATGTTTTTGACTGATGAACAAAATGAGTAAAATAATTCAAATGATGTTAATTAATGATGAAGATGTTTCAGTTTGGTTTGGTTTGGTAAAGATTCAGATTGTTTTATTTCTCATTTCTGATTCTCATCTTTACATCTATAATGAAATGTTGTTCTTCCAGAGTCAAGCCAGGGCCGCATCCACATTATTATTAATGAAACATCTAAGAAATGACTGTTATTATTAATGAAACATCTAAGAAATGACTGATTGTAGAAAAGCACATCTATATGAAATGAATAAAGTGAGGTTTGGAGCAGCAGATTCCTCAGCTTTGTCCTGAAACTGTGGTTCTGTTGGGCCTGGTCAGAGAGGAACCGTCATCTTCAGTCTGACAGCTGTCAGTCGGTTGGAGCCTCGTCTCTGTGATGAAGCTTCATCAGGTCACGTCTCCTTAGGAAATAATGGCCTCCATTGGCTACCTGCAGCTTTAATAAGAACCCAATGCCATTAATGAATAAACTGATTGGTTCTGATCCAGTTACCAAGTCGGGTCTCCAGCTGATGATCAGGAACCAGCAGAAATAGCTCACCTTATCCAGGCTGCTGCTCATAGAAAACTTTGAGTTTCTTTTTGATAAAATGTTGTGCTGGTCAGTTTGACTGCATCAGAGGTTAGAATCAGTTCATCTTGTTGATTCCCAAACATAATTTATTTGTTCATATTTCAGTTTTAACTGCACCCTTTTGGCTTCAGCTCACATCTTTTATTCTTTATTCAGATTGGATCTCTGCAGTTTGTCAGAGACCAGCTGGACTTTGCTGTTCTCAGCTCTGAAGTCCAACCCAACCCATCTGATAGACTTGGAGCTGGACAACACTATTCTGGGAGATTCTGGAATGAAGGAGCTCTGTGGTTTTCTACAGACTGAAGGCTGCAGACTGGAGAGATTGAGGTATATAATTATGTAATTATTGATATTTCTGTGAATATTATTGATCATAAATCAAAGTTCATATCTTCTATTCTAATAAATATTTTTTTAGTTTGTTCCTGGACTTGGATCCAGAGTTTAATTAAGTCCCTCTGTGTAACTGAATTGCACCCGCTGATCTGAGGTCAGAACAGGATAGCATTTGGGTCCCCAGTGTGGATAAATCCCCCTCATGTAAAGCAGGTTAAAGGTCATTCGTCTAGACCATCTAGACCCCTCAGGTCTTCTGGCTTTGGTTCTGCTCTGCATCCCCATAACCAGAACCAAACAAGGAAAAGCAGAATTCAGCTTCTATGCACCACAAATTTGGAACAAACTTCCAGAAAACTCTAAAACAGCTGAAACTCTGAGTGCCTTTAAATCTCAAACTTAAAACCCACCTGTTCAGAGTTGGTTATGACTAAATAAGGGTTAGAGTCCCAGTTGATGGTGTTTCAACTAAAGTTCTAAAGGGCTAAAAAAGGGGTGTGGGTTTTAATGATTTTTATTTTTTATTTACTTTTTTATATTTTTATCAGATTGCTTATTACTCTGTGTTTTTGTTTTTAATGATGTAAAGCACTTTGAAATGCCTTGCTACTGAAATGTGCTATACAAATAACATTTTATTGATTGATTGATTCAACCCAGTCTACAAAAGATAATTTTGGCTCCTGAAATCTGACAGGAACAAATCTATAATCAATTATTTATTTCAGACAGAAAAAACAATAAAAAATAAAAACAAAATAAAATAGAATGAAACAAAGGTAAGAAATAAAATGTAAAACAAATTATGTTGCCCATGTGACATGCAAATTTTATATTTTCTGTTCGAAAAGGAGCAGGTAGAAGATATCTTTTAATCTCCTGCCCCTTTCCTATTTGTCAATTTATTATCAATTAACTTTCAGAACATCAAAAATTTCATTATAGACCATTAAACAGTCATCTTATATAGCATATTTTGAAATGAGCTCTGTTTTAATCAGTTTTTTAAAATTGGTTTACATTTGTACTATTTTTAACTCATCATTCAATCCATTCCAGACGTTTACTCCACACACAGATAAGCAAAAACTCTTCCTGGTTGTTCTAATATGTTGTTTTTTGAAATATCCTTCACCTCTTAAATTATAATCACCCTCTCTGTCACCTAACATTTCCTGTATATTGGGTGGAAGTTTCCAATTTCTGACCTTCAACATGAATTGTGACGTTTTAAATATTACCAGGTCCAAGAATTTCAGTATGTTTGATTTGATAAGTAACTGGTTTGTATGTTCCCAGTATCCCACTTTATGTAACCTCCAAACTTCCACACAATATGTTAAATGTGGTACAACGTGTGTTATATAGAATAAACAAAGATTTGTAGTCCAGGACGAAACTAATTCTTCTTATAACAGCAACACTTTTGGCTATTTTAGATTTTACTAGGCTGATCTGTGGTTTCCAGCTAAATTTATCGTCTAATATGACACCCAAAAATTTTATTTCATGTACTTGTTGTAAATCAACACTTTCAATTGATATTTTAATTGGATAATTTTCCTGTTTTTTTTATTGTTTCCGAATATCATGAATTTGGTTTTATCTAAATTTACTGATAATTTATTGTTTTTGAGCCAATGCTGCAATTTTTCCATTTCTGTGTTGACCACTTCTGAGAGTTATTGAATGTTTTCTCCAGCACAGAAGATACTTGTATCATCTGCAAATATAACGTATTTTACAAGGTTTGATATTTTGACTTTCATTTATATACAAATTGAACAAATTGGGTCCCAAAACTGATCCCTGCGGAACTCCACAAGTTATATTTAGTAAGTCTGATTTCTGACCATCTAATTCTACTAATTGTTTCCTTTCTCCAATGTAGCTCCTAAGCCAGTTTAATGCCACCCCTCTAATTCCATACCTTTCCAGTTTTTTTTAATAACATGTCATGATTGACACTTTAATCAGACCCTGGAATGATTTTACTGACTAAAATCCTCCAACACAACATGGCCCAGTTCCAGGTTCTGGTTCTGACGTCTGCAGGTCTTTATTGAAGCATATTGGCATTAATATTATTCAGAATCTTTAACTGGTTCTGTTGGACTGGTTAACCTGCATCCTGTTGGCTTCAGCTCAGATCTTTTATTTTTTATTCAGATTGTTGAACTGCTCGATGTCAAAGATCAGCTGTGATTATCTGGCCTCAGCTCTGAAGTCCAGCGACCTCTATATGACAAAACTGGACCTGAGAGGAAATATCCTGGAGGATTCAGATGTTCAGCGGCTGAAGCGTTTTGTAGAGACTGTAGAGTAAGTAAATGTTTGTAGTGAGTCTAGCTGGTGTCAGCATATTGAACTACACCCAGTTAGATTCAAAGCAAAGCTCCGGTGTTCCCAGTCAAGCTGCAGCTTCTCAGTGGAAGGAGAATGGTTCAGGCTTCCTGATTGGACACAGAGACAGCAATCAGCCAATCAGAGGAGCAGCAGCTTGCCCTGTTGATGTGAAGATGAGTGTTGTTGCTGTGTCCATGTCTCCAGGGTGTCCAGCTGGACATGTCTCTAGACATGTCTAACATGTCTAGAGACAGTGGTCCTCATTCATCAAACTGTGGCAGCAGCAGATCTGATCTCAGATCTGCTTGTTCTCTCAGTTCAACAGGAAAAAATTTATCAGGTTCATCTTGGTCACAGCTCTGAGATCAGTCTGACTGCAGCATGGAAACCGTCTACTGGATGTGCTGCGTCACTGACTGCTGCTGGAGAGAGGCTGGAAACACTCACTGATCTGATCTCTCCTTCCTCCTTCTCTCTGCAGGTGGGATTCTTACAGTTCTTCTTGCCCCCGTCGTGGACCAAGTTTTGTCTCCACCAGCGCAAGGCTACTAAACCTTTCATGAAGTTTTGATCTGAACTAGATTCAACTAGAAAGTTGATCTTTTTTCTGATTCGTTTTTGTCCTGGAACCAGAAATGGTCTGAGAATGGAAACATGGGAATCATTTTCAGTTCGGCTCTGAATCATGAAAGACACTTCAAACCTCTTTTCTCTGCTGCTTCTTCTTCTGTTGACAGGAAAATGTTCCTCAAAGCTCCACAGATAAAAAGATCCTTTACTGGAAACTGCAGATAAACTTCAGCTTCCATCACAGAAACCAGTTTAACCAGTTTAGAACTGGATGTCCCACAGAAACTCTGATCTTAAAGCAGTTTTCAGAAACATCCAGCATTTATCTGGACATTATTTTAATATTCTGTATATAATGTTATTTTGTTATAGTCATTCTAAAAATCTTTAAATAATGAAGTTTTGCATCATAGTAATTGATTCTCAGAGCTTTAACATTTCTCTTTTTTTCATGATTTACTTTTTTAACTCAAAACATGAAATATGGAGTTTTCTTCTTGAGAACTGTTTTACTCGATGTGTTACATGAGGCTCCTTACTGTGATTTATTGATTTATTCAGATCTCAAAGGACAATGTGCTGATTTGTTAAAACTTTTTGTTAAATTTCTTCTAATGAAATGTGGGTTTCTGGATGTTTAATGAGCCAATAAAGTTTTTAATAATGTTATTTGTGGTGTTTTTTATTCAGCTGACTGTACAAAACTACAGGTGAAAAATGTTCATTGAAGTCAGTAATTCAAAAAGTGAAATTTGTATATTATATTTATTCAGTACATTCAGACTGATATATTCTCCAGCACCAGGTTCTGGTTCCACCCAGCAGAACCAGCTATGCTGTTGACCTCTGACCCCTGGAATCAAAGGCAGATACCCAGATGGTTGTTGAAGTTCTGGTTCTGACAGACAGGAAAACTCAGAGCATGCATCAGGATTCTTGGTCTTCTTTAGAGTCAAAAGCGGATAAAGTTCTGGTCCAGATGGGATCTGAATTCTAGTTCTGAGCAGAGTTGCTAGTTACATTTACTCAGTTACTTTTAGTCCAGTGAGAGGTGGGGTTCACCCTGGACAGGTCGCCAGTCTGTCGCAGGGTAACACACAGGCAGACAGGACACACAAACACCTAGGGACAATTTGGAGAGGCCAATTAACCTGACAGTCATATTGTGGACTGTGGGAGGAAACCACAGTACCTGGAGAAAATCCACTATGCACAGGGAGAACATGCCAAATCTGTGCAGAAAGACCGGGGCTGGGAATCGAATCCAGAACCTTCTTGCTGCAAGGCAACAGCTCTAACAACTGCGCCACTGTGCAGCCCATTTAAAGTTATATTTAAAGTTAAAACATTTTTGAAAAAAATGTTTGTTGCCAGATTGGATAGATTTGTTAATAGACACAAACTACTCAAAATAACTACTCAGTATGGATTTAGGTCACAAAGATCAACAGCAATGGATCAAATTCAATAACCCTAACCCTAAAAGAAACCTGATGTTAGGGTATTTCATCAAGAAACTCGAGCGCTCTGTCAACAGTAGCAAATAAAGCTCGAGCGTTGTTAGAGTTTTTGTTTATGACATCTGCAAAGAAAGCCTCTCTTGCATGTTTTAGTGTTGTGAGATAGTTATAGTCTTTCCTTGTAAATGTCATGATAAATATGCAGTTGAGTTTTTTACCATTTCCATTTGGCCCTACGGCAGAGCTGTCTTGCAGATTGAAATGTTTGTGCATTTCTCCATGGAGATTTCTTCCTACCAGTCACAACCTCCACTTTAATGGGGGCAATGTAATCAATGATATCTGAAGTTTGCACTGAAAATCATCTACCAACTTATCTACGTCATTATAGCTTAAGGGCGAAGAAGAAGAGTAGATTTGATTAAATGTTTCTGCTGTGTTTTCTGTGAAAGTACGTTTTGTGATATCTCTACTTAGGTGTCATCTACCCAAATAATATTATTCTAGAAATCTTGATCCTCATTCAGATGCAGCTTTGCAAACCTAAGGGTTGCTACCATATTCTTTTTGGAACGAAAAAGCTTTTCTTAGGCTGTGTCGCCACAGTGCAACTTGAAGTGACCCAATTCCGATTTTTTTTTTGTCAAACTGGATTTTTTTCTGCCTGGGCCTTCACATTTCCAAATAAATGCGACCTATATGCGTTCTGCAGTGTGAACAGGCAAATGACCTGAAAGAGTCCCGCATGCGCAGTAGAGGGCGCAATAGCGTCAGCGTTCTCAGTGTTCTGCCAACCTTCATAAAAAGAAGAGCTCAGTGTTTGCGGAAGTAAACATGGAGGCTAACGGTGGAGCATAGCTACAATTTTGAAGTTGTTTCCCCGACAACTTCAAAATTGAACAGAAAAGGGGCAGGACCAAAATAAATGAAACACATCTTCAGGATTTCCTTCACAAAAAGAGCATATAATATCTATATTGTTAAAAATAGAAATATTTTCGATGGATAAATTCTGAATAATTTTAAAGGATGCTTCTTTTACTTTAGTTATCATATATTTATTTGGTAAAGTCCAAATCCTTTTCCAGTTAAGGTTATTAATAACGGTATTCCAATAAGATACCACATATGGAGTAGATACAATATCTTTCTGAAATAATGAGCTTATATGTCGGTTGCTATTACGAGTTGAGGAGAAACAGATTTGACCAATTTCAAGTTTGGTTGGATCTAAAGGAAACAGTGTTGAATTTTTTCCCATTAAACTTTTGAATAAGGTAACGGCAGCAGGGATTGCATTTATTACAGTATTAAATTCATTATAGGAATTATAGTGCCGTATTTTGTAATAAAGTCTTGGTAAGTCCATCACAGTTGAGCGAGCTAAAACTATGTTGTGAGTGAACCAATTGCAGTAAAATAAGGATTTGTTTTTATGCAAAATGTCTTTATTGTTACAAATGTAATACATGTGTGGAGAGAAATTATGCTTGTAAATCAATAACCAGGCAAGAAGCATCTGTTTATGAAAATTGTTTAGATTCGAGGGGACTTTTTTCAACACTATAATGGAAAGGAAATTTAAACTTCCTAATTTAGAGAAGACAACGTTTGGTATGAAGTTCCAAACTGATGAATTGTTTTAGCCAATTTATTTTAAATGTAGGCTATTATTTAGCTCTGATTCCAGGGGTCAGAGGTCAACAGCATAGCTGGTTCTGCTGCCAAAGTCTAAAAAGTTGAGGCCGTCTTTAAGAATGCATAATTACTGATTATTAATGAAATAATGATTATGAATTATGAAAATTATGAATTTATTTTTAATATAGTGTTTTTTGTTTTTCAAAATAAAATTAAAAAGCATCTTGTCAATATCTTTGGAAACCTTTTTGTTTACATGCAGAGATAACGCAGCATATGTAGGCTCCGTTCCCTTTATGGCAGCGCTACACCGCCCTCCAGTGGGCATGTCGAAAACAGCAGCAGAAAAGCTGTGATACTATATTACAATGGTTTTTCACGTTTCATGAAACAAAACATTAGGTGATAATTTTCAGTGCCACATTTGTAAATTAAATACTATGAGAAGTTTTAAAACTACAACATTAAAAGAAAACATTGCATGTTTTGAAAAAAAATATTTAGAAGAAAAAAAGTGTATAGATTTGTATTTAGTCCCTTTTACTCCTGATTAAACCAAGTTGTTTTAGTAATTTAATCTCAGTGAATGAATCCAGATGAATCCAGATGTTTCAGCATCATGATCTTAGTTTTACCAGGTGATTCTCCCAGGTAAATGGTTCTTTTCCACTGTTGCCACATGCTTGCCCATAATGTTGGACTGCTGAAAAATCAATAACTTGATATAGAGTTGTCTGGGTTACCAGATGGACCATGACTTCCCAACTGCCATTACATGATAAAGTGTTGACTGTACTGGATCATAGACATAACAGGAAACAGGATTTGAATGTACACTGTAAAAAAAAAAAACGGCCTCATTTTACGGTAAAAAACTGGCAGCTGAGTTGCCAGAAGTTTACCGTCTTTATACGGTAAAATTCTGGCAACCAAAACTGCCAGTTTTTTACCGTATTTTTAAAATACGGTAAAATTCTGGCAACCACAGCTGCCAGTTTTTTACCGTATTTGCTAAATGCAGGATTTTACCGTATTTTTAAAATACGGTAAAATTCTGGCAACCACAGCTGCCAGTTTTTTACCGTATTTGCTAAATGCAGGATTTTACCGTATTTTTAAAATACGGTAAAATTCTGGCANTATATATATATATATGATCACATGAAAGATCCATCCCCTTTAGATCTTAAGCAGCCGACACACACAAAGTTGATAATTTTATAATGTTATTTATTTTAAAAAGATGTATTTCTGGACTTTAGAGTGAGCTATAATACCGAAAACAACAAACTATCTGAATATTAACCAAATCTTGCCTAATTGAAAGTAAATAAACCAAATGGCAAAAACTTACCTCCCTAATTAAGAAAAACATGAGAAAACTAAGGAAACATAAATGGCAGCTCCCTCTTACAAACTCCAAACATTTTTACAAAGGCTTTAACAGACGAACAGCGTGGCCAGTGTTCTGATGAGCTGAGGATGGATGGTAGGAAGTCCACGTCAGCAGCTTTTATATCCGGCACCTATGGGAGGCCACCAATTAGACGTCTCCGGCATATTCAGGGAGCAAATGAGGGACGGGCACCTGCACACTCACGTTTGCATGATTACATTTACAACGCCAGCCGTAACTGTAAATAATCTAAGCTGTATTTGGTGCAGCTTGAGTTCAGGAGTCTGATGTCTGAAGGGAAGAAACTGTTCTTCAGCCTGATGGTCTTGCTCTGGATGCTCCTCAGCCTCCTGCCTTAGGGGAGCGGCTGGAACAGCCTGTGTGCAGGATGGGTTGAGTCTTTCATGATGAGGAGCGCCCTCCTCCTGCATCGAGGTGGAGGGAAGGCTGCTCCCCACAGTCCTCTGTGCAGCCTTGACCACCCTCTGTAGAGCCGTCCTCTCAGCAGCAGTGCAGCTGCTGTGCCACACAGTGATGCAGGTGCAGAGAACACTCTCCACCACACAGTGATAAAAGCTCCTCAGGACTGAGCTCCCAAGTCCAGCTGTCCGCAGCTTCTTGAGGAAGTAGAGACGCTGATGGGCCTTCTTGACCAGATGGGAAGTGTTGGTACTCCAGGTGAAGTCACTGGATATATGCACACCCAGATGCCTGTAGCTGGAGACCACCTCCACAGCTGCTCCTCTGATGTACAAGGGCTGAAGAGGATCCTTGTTCCTTCTGAAATCCAGCACCGTCTCCTTGGTCTTCTTCACATTGATGCAGAGGTAATTTTCTCTGCACCACTGCACCAGGTGTTCCACCTCCTCTTTGTATTTGGACTCATCACTGTTCATGATGCGTCCCACTACTGCTGTGTCGTCGGCAAACTTCACTATATGACAGTTGGAATGCCTTGCTGAGCAGTTATACTTCAGCAGAGTGAAGAGGAGGAGGCTCAGCACGCAGGCCTGCGGCGAGCCAGTGCTGAGGGTGATGGATGAGGAGACGTTGTTGTGGATCCGGACAGTTTGAGGTCTGTTTGTCAGGAAGTCCAAAATTCAGTTCCCCAGTGTAGAACTCAGTCCAAGAGAGGAGAGCTTCTGCACCAGGGTCTGTGGGTTGATGGCGTTGAATGCTGAGGAGAAATCCAGGAAGAGGAGACGTATGTATGAGTTCCTGCTCTCCAGATGGGAGAGGGCTGTGTGGATCGCCGATGAAATGACGTCAGCAGTGGACACATTGATGTCAATGGAGCCCTTGATGTGATTCATGACTAGCTTCTCGAAGAAATTCATGACGACCAATGTTTAGGCTAAGAACGGCACAGTTCTTCATCTCTGCAGAAACTCTCAGCCTCAGATGTAACAAATCCACTTTGTTATCCAGTGGGTGGACAATGGCCAGAAACTGAGTCAGAATAGGTGGCTTCCCAGCCTTCAGCTGGGCCAACGCGCCTGCCCGCTTCCCCCTCTTCTGTTTTCTGGCACGTTTCCTTTTGACCGTTGCTCCTTGCATCCTGCTGCGCCAGGCCGTTGTTCTGAGGAGGCACTGTCTCCCAAGTACAGATTTCAGCCTTGGTGATATAACAGCCGAACTGTATCCAGTCGCCATCAGTTCAGTCGAGCTGTATTTCAGTAGTGAAGTTGTCACTGAACTCTTGCCCAAAGCAGCCTCACAGATTTTAAATATAGCTTAATCCGGGGCGCTCGTGAAACCAATGCACCTCTGTGGGCCGCCATAGCAGAATCAGACCTAAGTTTCTATTCACAAACAAGTGTATGTTGGAAAAAAAATTAATTTTTAGAATATACATTAGAATATTCTCTTCTATATTTACAAAAATCAAAAAATATACAAACAAGAAAATCCACATTATTTTAAGTTACATTAACAAAAAAAGTCAAGGAGGGAAAAAATTGAATAAAATAAGAGTAACAGTAAAAATTACAGTTTTACAGGTTTAGAAATGACTGCTTGTATCTTGTTCCCAGCAGCCAGGATTGCCTTCCAAGGTCATGAGTCATTTTAATTTTTAATTTGATGGAATCCAGATGTAGGGTCCTGAATGTTCATCAATGACTTGTTTACACTGGTGATAAATATCATCCAAAGTGTCTCCTTGAACCAGAGCTGAAAGCAAACATAAAGAAGAAATTATTATGAAAAGTAACTGCTACAGATGGTTACATAATTGCCTTCTCTTGAGAAGTATTAAAATTGTTCAACTTTGTCATATCAATATGCATTACTTCATCTTTTTCAGATACACTGTGAGAAAAAGGTGCAACACACAAGAGCTAGGTGAGAGTCATTGTGAAAAACAGTGATAGCTGTTTCTAAAGAGTATTAAGCAAATATAAACACAGCAGTAAAACTAGTATTCATCTACCTGTGATTGTGTTCTTTATTAGTGGTTGGCAGGTGGTAAGTAGTTGAATAGCCCATTCACACATATACAACTTTTGGATTTCATGTTTCTTCAGCACTTTACACAAAACTTAAATGTTTTTGAAGCTGCATTTCTTATTATGCAGACAGTCTTATATCAGAATTTTTGTAGTAAAGTACTTCTTGCTTTTTAAATTTCCATAGAGGATAACAGTGAAGCAAGACAATTTAACTGCAGAAAACATATTTTTCTTTAGTTTTCATTCATGTTTTAATAACCTAATTTATAAATACTGTTGTGTATTACATGCAGCAAGTTAGTTTCTAGCAATTTAGTTTTTATGAAAGCTGGGTTTTAGAAAGCAGGGCTAACAAACCCAGTAGAAGGAAGTTACTCTGAATAAACTTACCCTGTTCTGTGAAGCTCTAGATTTTCAATTTAAGAACATGAGATAAACTTGGCAACTAAATTTTGTTTCAAGTTGAGTTAACCCTTGTGCATGCAAGGACTGAGGCAAACGTAGAGGACTATGGCAAATTATACAAGTTTTACGTGTGTGGGGTCAGTTGGACCCCATTTCCACATTCAAGGGTTAAGCATGAGTGCAAGTATAAGAAGAAGCCCTCATCAATGGAAGGCAGATAAGGTTATTCACCAAGGCAAAGGGAGAAAAACAAAACAAGCCTGAAAATGTGCATTTCCCGCCAGTTGAATTCTACATTTTAATAACAATAATAATAACAATCTTTACTGTCATTATAGAACATGCAATAAGTTACATGGATTATAATAAAAATTGGTGAAAAATGGTACTACAAGGTATTTAATGCTCTTATGGCTACCAGGTATAAACTCTTCTTCAGTATGTTTGTTCTTGCTTTAATGCTCCTGTATCTGCAGCCAGATGGCAGCAGTTGGAACAAATTGTGACCGGGGTGTGAGGAGTCTTTTAAAATATTCTTGGCTATCTTGAGGCAGTGGGACCTGTGGAGATCTTCAAGAACAGTCAGAGAGCAGCCGATTGTCTTCTGAGCAGATTTTATGGTTCTCTGGAGAGTCTTCCTCTGTGCTGCTGTGCAGCTGGGGAACCAACACAGAGACAATAGCAGATAAGGGTTTCAATAGAACATCGATAGATGGACACCAGCAGTTTTTGAGAAATATTGTTCCTCCTGAGGACTCTCAGGAAATAAAGTCTCTGCTGGGCCTTCTTTGCCAGTTCTGCTGTGTTCACAACCCAGGCCAGGTTATCCATGATGTGAACTCCCAGGAAATGGAAGTTCGACACCCTCTCCACAGGCTCTCCGCAGATGTTTAGTGGTTCAGTGTCTCTTTTCCTTCTCCTAAAATCCATTATGATCTCCTTGGTCTTGGCTGTGTTTAGGATCAGGTTGTTGTCTGTGCACCATGCTGTCAGTCGCTCCACCTCGTTCCTGTAGGCAGACTCATCGTCCCCTGAGATGAGCCCACTACGGTTGTTTAATGATGGCATAAGTAGGACAAACTCAGGATTTGTTCAAACAATCCTTCTACTGAGCAGGGTTGGTCATGATAAGTTACCGTGGTAAGTTTACTGAGGATAACCGCTATACAGGTTTCTGAAACTGAAAACCAAGGATAAGCACATAGTTACCCCAAAACTTCCTCAGGATTTTCACTCATCGCGCTTTCTGAAATGGGGCCCTGGTGTTCTTTGAGAGGTGGCTGTTTGGCCAGGGAATACAAAAACAGACAAAGCAGTCTGTCTGGTAGTGACTACCGTTTCTTTTCATGAAAACTGAATCTAGTCATTGCAGCAGGTCAGTTTTTAGCCTTTTATTTGTCCTATTTTATATAATATCACAGCCAAGTTGAAAGATTTCTATTAGTAAGTTGGAAAATCATTAAGATTTTTTTAGGGTATGCAGAGCCTTTGCTATCTTGGTAGCAAAAATGTTGACATCACCTAAATAAAACAAGTCATTAACTATTTACTGAAAAATTATGATGCTGAATTATAGGAGATATTAAATATATCAAAACAAATTTAAAATCTAAAACAATATTATTTTGTGATGAAAGGTGGAAACCTGATGTCTGGTTTCTGCTAACTGAATAAAATATTGAGAATAGAAATGAGTTTGACCTACATGTACACGCAAAGTTTAGAAGAGGCTCAGAGAACACCATCCTCTGTTTTCGTCTTTTCTTTCTACAGGTCTGAAAGTTTGAAATTGATTTAAAGCAAGTTTTTACTGTAAATTTACAGTTGGCTATTGTTTTTCTGCAATGTTTAAGAAATAGGCCTGGTTGTGGCATTGTATTTGAATTCTTTACCTTACCTGTAAACAATTCTCCAAACTCCCTTTCCAGCTTCACAGCCTTTTCAAATATCTTCTTCACTTGTTCCTCAGTCAATTTCTTATTCATGTCCCTGGGTATGACATAGGACATAGGATAACATTTAAACTTTTTTTTCTTTCATTTACGAAACAGACACTGTTCAGGAGACATTAAAGACAGCTACATCTGTAATGGAGCATGAGGCAAGTTACTCTCATCAGGTTGGGCATCACAAGGTCAACATGAATTCAAGAATTAAAATGAAATAAAAAAATCTTTATTTATCCCCAGGGAAATTCAATTTGCTTTAATTCATTGTTCAAGCTTCGTTAACGAGTTGTTGCTAATGCTGAAGGCAGGAAGCATTTACTGTAGTGGTCTCCATGTCAAGAATTGGGTTGATGAGGTGGTGAAGATGAGGTTGTGGTGAAAAATTATGGTTTTAATGGTGATCTCAAAAGGATACGAAAAGCCCAGGCAGCACAGGTGAACAATAATGCGACGAATTTAAACACTGGTAGCAACTGGAATAGAACTAGACAACGAGGACAGACATGATAAGGATCTGACAGGGAGCAAGAGACAGATAGGTTTAAATACACAGGGAAGGTAATCAGGGGAAACAAGGGACACCTGGGGGCAATTAGGGGAAAGACAGACAACATAGGAACTAACTAACAGAGAAAACCCAAATCCTCACACTGTTTTTGCTCTGAAGGATAAAACTTATCACTTTCTGTTGTCACTATTGCACTCTGTGGATATGTTGGTATTTGAGACTCTCTTGATTTGATCTAATTTCTCTGTCCTGAGACCTTAGTGAGTTAACACATGTGCACAGTAAAACACACATGATGTATATTGAACTTTACTTTTTGGGAACTCTTTATGTTTCACACAATTTCTTTTTTTATTTTGCATGGTAAGGGCTTGCTTGCTTAGATAGTTTAGTGTTAACTAAGCATCAGCGCTACTATGACTTCTCCTGCTGTTTCCAGTCTGTCTGAATCTTCTCTTTTCTGTTCTCTGTGTCAGATGTTCAGTAACTCTTCTGCCTCATATATTGATAATGGTACATGTAAGAAATGTAGCACTTTTGTAGCGTTTGAGGCGAGGGTGTTGGAATTGGAAAACCAGCTCTGCACTGCTGACGTCTCTTAGCCACTGTGGAGCTAACATGACTAGAACAAAACGGTCCATCACCCAACCAGCATAGTCCCAGATCCTAGCCCATGGATCATCATCAACACCATCAGCAATTTAATCTCTAACCCATTAGCTCCCTGTTTTAATTCAGAACTTCATACTTTAAAGCAGAACACTAGGACTTTACATATCTTGATGACTCCTAAGATAGATAGATAGATAGATAGATAGATAGATATTGACAGAGCAGGACTATAATTATTATATTTTTCTTAAAGGAGGATGTTTTAAACAGGAAAAAAACCCAGAAAACCGTCTTCATCTTTTGGGACGCTCAGAGCCATCTCTGTTGTTGTTGTGGTTGGAAGCAGTCCAAAATCTTAATAGCTTTGGTTAAAAAATAATATGCAAAACTGATATGTTACTGAAGACCACAGAAATACTCACATTAATGAATCAGCAGACTTAGGTTTTATCAAGATGGCTATCGGATGCAACTGTGCTACTTGTAGTCGTTTAATAGCATTTCCAGAGACATCCAGAACACAGTGTTTGCCCTAAAAAGACATAGTAATTTAGAAGATATTCTACTAAAATTCTTATAAAAAAATAAGAGTTATCTATTATGTTTTTCCCTGGTTTGTTGCATAAGAGAAGAAAACAGATCAGCTGGAACAATAACATTACAACTTCCTTTTTTATATGAACATTTATGCTTCTGTGTGGTACAACCAACATGAAGTTGAATTAAATAATATTACCCTCTCAGCTACATATTTTACAGACTGGACACTGGTCCCGTAAAGATTGTCATTGTATTGTCCAGCTTCTATGAACTTGTGCTCTTGAATGTCCTTCTCCATCTGCTCTCTGGACATCACGAAGAGATAGTCTTGCCCATCAACCTCATAGTTCCTTTTTGGCCTTGTGGTGTCTTGTGGTATAAGGAAGAGAATACATTCTTAGCATATCATAAAGACAAGGATACTTACTACAATCTAAGTTTTAATTCAGAAAACAAAACAAAAAAACATGCATAAGTATGTGATTCCTATTTGAAAAGCCAAGCAGTTGGAGAAAAAAGCAAAGCTGCAAGACACTGTGAAAGAGACAGAGCAGCAGCTACTGAGAGGCTGACAGAAGTTATATTCTCTCCAACCCTAACCCTAACCACCAACTGATTTGGCTGTTGATAAACTGGTAATGGTAACCAATTGTAAAATGAATCAAAGATACAGGATGATCATTAGCATTGTGAGGCAGGAAACCAATGGCACTAAAGGTTCAGCAGATGTATAATGTAGCACAAAGAAAAAGACTCTGAAACTCCCTACAGATCTTCGTTCAGACATCAATGAAGCTTGATTTCCGAATGACATGTAAAATTTGAAAAAAGTACTTTGGACCACTGACCACTTTTCGGATGAAAAAAGTGCTGCTTCTCTGTAGCCCAGGTCAGTCGGTTCTGCCACTGTTTCTGGTTCAAAAGTGGCTTGAC